GTCAGCAAGAGGTTCCTGCAGCACCCTCGGGCTGTGGATGTGGTCGTTGGAACATCCCAAGTGGTGGTTCTGCAGTGATTTCAGTGTGGGAACTGCTGAGCAATTAATAATAATGAATATATGGGATTAGTTTGAATTGACAGGCACAGAAGCCTCAGAGCATTTTTATAGCAGCTGGTTAAGGTGTTTATTAGTCAGGCACACCACACCCAGGTGTGTGGTGTTACCTGTGCCACGAGCACATGTTTAGAGTTGTTGAACCGTTTAGGTTGCAAAGGACTTTTAAGGTCGTGGAGTACAACTGTGTTGTTTGTTCAGTTCATCAGTCACATTTGCTTCCTCTTTATCTTCTTTTCCAAGTTCCTTCTGTGACCTTGGCTGCAATTCTGGTCTTGCAGGTGCAGTATTTTTGGTGAGATTGAGCTCTGCTGAATAGAGCTTCTGCATGACATCTTGGCAGGGAAGGCCACAATTACCTGCTCTAGAAACAGGAGGTGTTTTGCCTCTGTCAAGTGTAAATCATGGAAAGAAGGGAGTGTTTTAGAGCCATTGTAGAAATCGAGGGATGAAACTGGCAAAAGTGATAGCAACAACTACCAGAGGAATTGGTGTTCTGAATTTCTACATGGCAGTATAGGAGTTTTTCTGAGTTAAAGTCTGGAATAAAAAAACCTGAAAAAAAATTCCCTCCTTCCATTTCCCTTTTGTTGACCTTGTATCCTTCCAAGGCTTTGTTGGTCTGTAGAATTTTGCTATTTGCTTATCTCTGTGGCCTTGAATACCTTTCTTATTTAATCTTTCTCTCTTTTGGGCTCTTTAACTTTGTATTTTCCCCCATCGTGATTCAATTGCAGAACAAGTCACTGCATTCCTCAACTCTTCCCTAAAATCCTGTCAGCAGTGCTTTTACAATTCCTGCTTAAAATATTTTAGGCCAGATACTCATTTTTAGTATCCTCACTGTGGATACCTGGAATTACATTGTGAATCTTGAAAGACAATGTTAATGGGACTTTAACTGGCCTCAAACTGAGCTTTGTGTCCATGTCAAGGAACATCCAAGGCTGTGTTCAGGTTTTTCATACAACACTCAGCAGGTGCAGATTTAACACCCTATTTTTCAGACCTAGTTTACAACTTAGTAGAAGATGATTGTTAACACTAAGATGTGTTTCAAACACCCTTTCAACTTCAAAATTCAGTGTGAACAGTAGGGGAAAAAAGTGATCTGGGGAGAGGGGAATGAGGTGCTGTTATGTCTGGAGAGAAATGGATTCTGTAACTCTTTGGTTTTAAAGGTTTCACAGTTTGCTTTCTCATTAAAATAGCAAACATGATGTTCTGTGTTCTGCTGCCAGATCTGGTATTTTTCTGTTTTATTTCAAATTCTATATTAGAAAGCATAAAATGTCCAGAGAAGAAATACAAAATTTGAATAAAAATAGTATCTATTGGTTCTGCAACCCCAAGTGTCACTGAATTCAAAGTTTTGAGAGTGTTGCAGGAAACGCTTAACAGTTGAATTGAATTATAGGGGACACGTTTATGAGTTCCCAATGAAAATTGGCTTAAGTAATAACCTGCTGAGATTAACTCAAAAGTCTGTTGCAGAAGCAATTTTTAAGTCAGAAAAAACAAACTTTAGTTATTATATGTGAAGTAAACATTAGTGTTTTTCCACTCTGTGTAGGAGTGGAGCAAAGAGTAGCAGCAGTAGGTGTAGTGGTGCAGTAGGATCTCCTGTGTTCAGGTGCCTTTATAATGGTGTTTCTTTACTGCAGTAGAGCAGAAGTTAGTTGAATGTGTTTCAGGACTATACTGCTCTGAGGCTGCTTCTGCCTTTGTCTCCAAACTAGGTGCTGGATGTATGGCAACACCTTAAACACAAAGCCTTTCCCACCATAGGGGCATCCCTGCCTGGCACTGGCACCATTGGTATAAGTGGCTGAGTTACTCTATTAATATTCTGAGATTCAGAATGGGAATGTTTATTGTTACTTTAAAATCTCTTTGATTACTTGATAAATCTTCTGTCCCTGGTGTGTGTAATCTGGGCATGAAATGGTGCAACTTGATCCTATGCTGGGTGAAACTGAGGGCACACCTTCCCCAGGTGGATAGGGTGATTGCTGCTGGGCACTGTGAACGCTTATGTCTGATCTGTGGATGTTTGGTGCTAGAGCCACAAAATTAGCCTTTCAGCTCTGTATTGTGAGTGCAATAGCTGTGTGTCTGAGAGAAAAACATTGCTTCTCCTGCAGCAGCAAGTGGCAGGTTGCATTTAGGCTGGAATCCACAAAATGGTTTTCTGTGTGAGTAGCAGATCATGTCCTTGGAGCTATATTTAGTAAAACCAAAAAAAAAGAAGAGTGCTGCTCCAGCCCTGAAGTCTGTGGCTGCTTCTGCCAACCTCCAGTGCCTGCTGCTTTCTCTGGCTTTGCAAGAGCAATAAAAATCTGTTGGGAGGAAATGATTGTGCTGCCATGGGGTTTGGAGAACCCATAATTAATATAGTTCTGCTCTCATTATTTCTAGGAGCTTATGTGGCTTTTAAATATATAAACTGAGGCTGTCAGACCTGCTTTTTGCTTCACTTTAATTAGCTGTGTCTGTTCTGGGAGGTTCTGCATGTGAAGCAGTGTCACACAGGGGTTTCTAAGGCTTTGTTTACCTGCTCTAACAGGCTCAGGGCAAACAGGAGTACCTGTGCTTAGCAATTCCTTTGATTTGCAAGGAGATAGATCCAAGTGGAAGCATCACAATATTGTGCTGTGAAGCCCTGGATTCCTGCATGCTCAGCCTTGACTCCTAAGTTTGTGTTGCCTGTGCTCGTTGCTGCTGGAGTAGTAGAAACCAGTGCTGTCAGTCACAGCAGCTTTGGGCTGTGCTGTTCCACTTAATTCTTTATGTAACCTACAAGGGATTACTGTCGTCTCACTTCCAGTAATACGGGATTTAAACCCACTTTTTCAATTGAAAAACAAATGAAAAAACCCCTCCTTGCTCTGCATGTTTTTCTGTTAGCTTGATTAGACTTATTTGTGAAGCAAGATTCAGAGTTACAGTCACTCTGTGTAAACACACAGTGGATGACAACTGCCTCAGATTCTCACAGCTGGAAATTGCCTTTCCATCTCTATGGTCCAAATAGCTCCATTTCCCAAACAGGTGGGATAAGGTCATTCACTACTGGCTTCTGAAGGAGCTTGTGTTTCCCAGGATGTTTTGGAATGCTCTCATGGTTGGGCAGGTAATTCAGGACGTTGTAAATGTACTGAGTTTAAGAAGTCAATTTCTGCAGCAGACAGAGATTATAGGAGTCTGTACTTGCTCCAATTCCATTCTACATACACATGTTTTGGTAGTACTCACAGCAAACTTTCTATTCTGTTCCCTGTGGTAAAGAAGACTCTTATTTTCTTGAGTAGCTATGTGGTGAACTGACGTGTATATGGAAATGGCTCTATCTAAAACAGTTCTGAGCCGGTAATTTTTGGAGGGAAAAAATATTGCAGTTCTAAATATATAGCTCATTCTGTCAAAATGTTAGATATGAGCTTGGGGGTAGTTTAAGAAACCCCACAATATCTAAAACAGAGAAACATTTTTAACATGGAGGTAATCCCATCCTGCTTCTGTTACTAAGCTCTTGTAACAAAAGGCTGGAATTTTTTCCCCCTTCTTTTGCCCCTTGTTCTGATGCCATTTTTTATTTAGGCAGTGTCCAGAACTAAGCACTACAAATAATTTGAGAAATGGGTAAATATTGCTGTAGTTTCCCAAGTTATCATTTGATAATTTGATTTACAATAAGAGGACTAACATGAAAAAACAAAGCATGGGTGGTAGTACTGTTTTTTTTAAGCTACTAGTCATAACAATCACAAGTATTGAGATAATTGCGTTGGCTTAAAAACTGCATAGTCTAAAAAGGGTTTCAGCTGCCTCAAGTAGAAAGGATCTTTACCTTAAAGAGGAAAAGGAAAATGGTAACTAATTTTCTGTCCCTTTTGTCCACTGAACTGAACCACAATGTTTTTCCCTGTCTTAGCTGCAGACATTCAATACTGCTGCACCTTGCAGAGATGTGCAGGACCTGACTAACGGCGTTGCCATGGCTCAGGTGCTTCACCAAATGTAAGTTGATTCTTCACTGTGAAGAGGAGGTATTTAATTTCTTGAGGTTTTTGTGTTTGACAGATAGTTGCTTTTAAAGTAGACAGACACTCAGAGTGGGCAGTTTATAGGAGAAGATAAGAAATGGCTTTGTATTGCTGGTTTTGGCATGATTTAATAGTTGAATAATAATGTCATGGTGAAGGTGATGAGAAGATATGATGCAGCATTAAATTCATACTTGTTGGGGTCCTTGCGAGGGACGGACTACAGCACACACCAATATGATGCTCTGATAGTCAACTTTATTTAGGGCACCTAACAGTATTTATAGTAAAATGTCTCCCGTCCATGCAGCTACGCACTGATCACACAACTTTGGATTGGTTGCTCAACCTGTCAATGTGTGCAATTCTTACTTATCATAGGTTACAAGTTTAAGCTGCATCCTGCTCTCACATCCTGGGAAACTGATAACAAGAGCTACACAGTGTCCATGAGAACCTAGACAACAGCACTATTCCCAGCTTGTTAGCCAGATGACTTATCTGTAAGGCAGTAAAACTAAAACTAAACCTAAAAATCCTGGCAGCAGGAGAGAGCAAGACCATTATAAGGTGTTGGATAGAAAACACAGGAGTGCATGAAGATAGAAACAGGTTAGCAAGACCTATTTTGTGAGTCTTGTTTTTAATTGCTTAAGCATTCCTTTAACCATTGCTCAGGGTACAGCTCCTCTGCTAGCCAGGCCCCAACAATACTTAAGGGTAATTGGACAATTCCAAACTATTTCCATGGATATCTGTGCTTTAGGCAATATGTTCCTCATTGGAATGAGCAACTGAAGGTTCCAAAGGTATGACTTTGTGTTCTTTTCCTTCTGGGAGTGCCCAGTTAATTTAGATTTAAGTTCTAGGATTTACATGACAACTTACAATTTGTGTGGAAAAAAAATCCAACTGTAAAACTTCAATGGCAGTTAAAAAAATAACAGGAATATTTTGTTTTGATTAGCTGTTTTACTGGTGTGACGAGAACTGGTACCCTAGTTTTGAAATTTGCATTTACTGCAGAGGGTTGTAACATGAATCTTTTTTTGAAAAAGTATATTGCCACAAGTCATCCCTGCAATTGTTGCTGGTGGCTCAGATAATAGAGGAGAAATCTGCATTACCATGTCCTGCTCAAATCGCCGCAGCAAAAAACCCATCCCAAACTCAGAAACCCTCCTGCCTGCTTGTAAAGCTTTGAAATGTGCTGTGGAAAGACAGAGGTCACATTTTTTCTGGGACATGGCAAAACTGGATTTAGGATTTGCTGAGGGTTGCTTCCTGTGTATTTGGGGTACTAGGCTGCCACAGGCTTTGGGCAAACTTCTTTACAGCCAAGTTGGTTCATATGCATTGTGTTTTATGAGGTGTTTTCAGATTGAATAACCAGCACAGTGTAAGAGTGAAGATATTGTTAAATATGCTGTGATTATACTGCTTGGCAGCTCAGTGTTTGTAAACACCTCCCTCAGCAACTCATCCCTGTTTATGTTGGCAAAGTGAAGCTACTTCTGCCCAGGGGAATGAGGGACATACAACAATACAAAATACCAGTAATTTAAAGTGGGTTTTTTCTTGCTAAGTGCTTTGACAAATTGTAGCCAGTGTTGCAGAATCCAGTCTGCCAGGAGTAGGTACCAAATTTAACATCAATACTAGTCAAAAGAGGCTGTTCCTTACATCATTATGATTATCAGGTATAAAAATTCAGCCTGACAAAGGCCTTCCCATCCTTGTGTTCCAGCTGTAGCTAGCTCAAGCATGGACGGAAATTCCCCCAACCCTGCAGTGTGTCTTAATGCAGCCAGCAGGATGGAAATTTCCTGTGACAGAAGTTTACCTTGCAGTCTCCAGCAATTCATGCCTCATTAGACACTAGTTCAACACCTGATCATTTAATGCTGGGAATTTGGTATCTTATTTATTTCAGTCTGTGCTTATTGATTAATCGTTTAATTTAATTTCAGAGATGTTGCTTGGTTTGATGCATCTTGGCTAAATCGCATTAAAGATGATGTTGGTGACAACTGGAGAATAAAGGTACTTAAAACTGAAGATAGTGAGATTTGGGGATTGGATGTTGTGGCTGTCCTGGGAGTGTATCTAGCAGGCTAGAAACTACAGAATTAATCTCAGGCTTTTCAAGGTTATTTTAAATGAACTTGAACTGTCTCTTGACAGTTTCAGTGCCTTCCAGCATTGTTGCATGGGCATTTTCTGCTGTGATATTTCTCTTGCCTTGCCCTCTCCTAGAGCTGCTCTCTAAACATTGTATTATAAATTATCATTTAATTTAAGCAAAATTAAGAATTTTAATAAAAGACTGTCACCTTATCTTTCATGTGCAACAATTAGTCCAGCAATCTGAAGAAGATACTGCAAGGAATTATGGACTACTATCATGAGGTATGGATTATTGCCCTCCTTCACCTAGCTTTGCTTTCTTTTCTTGGCATATTAATTTATTTTAGGACTCTTTTTGTCAGAAGGTGCATGATAATTACCTGGTTAAGTGGGAGGTCTGTGTGAATATAAAATTATTTTGTGCAGGTGTATTTTAGATACAGCTCTTGGAGTATAAGCTGGGAACCACCTCCCTGTCATTGCCTAGGTTAATGTGGTAAGGTCAGAGCTGCCAAATCCTGTTGGCTTTTGTGTGTGCATTCATGTTTGCTCTTGTCTAGTGAAGCTTTAACCCTTTTGTACACAAAAGAACAGATGCAGCAACCCCAGCCTAGGTTTTATGGTATTCACTTGGAAGCTAAATTGTGACTCCTCAGGGGCATAGTGAGGCTCAGAGTTGGTTCTCTCTTATGCCGGATGAGTGCAGGAGCCATAGAGGCTGCTGTATTTTGAGATGAAAAAATGCTGAATTTTGTATGGAGCTTGATTACACTTACATAATGGGTATGGTAGAGAGAAACTTGCCAGATGTTGTTATGGCTCCCTGGCCTCACCTGGGCTGAGCTGTACCGAGTGCCAAGCCCTTGCATGCTGCCAGGACTGAGGCTCTCTGGCAAGCCAGAAGTGCTTTAACCTTAGGAAAAGATTTTTGAAGGGCTAGGAAGCAACTCCCTTTGAAAGTGTTTTTAGTTCTTCTATTATGTTGATAGGATAAATTAATTCTGCCATATTCAAGAACTGTCCGAAAAACATTTAACTTATCACCGTCACTTTTTCTTCTCTAAGTTGGTAGTTAACCTGGCAACAAACTTACTTACAGATCATTGTCTCTGGCTCACTGAGTTTAGATTTCTTGCACGATACCAGATTTTCATGTTGTGAAAAAGTGGGACTCTACTTTCTCTCTTAATTTTGTTTTTATTTCAGTTCTTGGATCAGCAGATCTCTGAAGAGCTTATCCCAGACTTAAACCAGATATCCGAGAACTCGGATCCCACGGAGCTGGGAAGGCTTCTGCAGCTTATTCTAGGTTGTGCAGTCAACTGTGAAAGGAAACAAGGTAGGCACTGCCTTAACCTGTACAGCAATCAGCACGCTGCCTCAGCTGAATGTTAAGGTGGAAGAGGTGTAGAAACTTATCTATGAGCATTGTTAATACCTTGAATGCCTATTCTGAACTGAAGTTCATTTAAAAGCAGAAAATCTGTGAGAAATGTCTATGAATAAAACAAAACTTTGTTGAGAGTAGGTTTAAAAAATAGTCTGAAGTGTGTGTGGTTTATTCCTATTGCTAAAATATGTAACAAGACCTAAAACTTACTATTCAAATGCAAATGTAGCAAAATTAAATTAAAACCTTATATATAAAACTGCCTTGTTTGTCTGCAGAGGCTCAAGACTGAATTAGCTGGTTTTTCTCCCCTTACCAGATCTGATGTTCTGTGCTCTGATGGCCTTGTCCCTTGTTTTGTAATGCATAGTGTAAATTTGTCCAGTTGTTTAGCATCTCTTGTGCTTATCTACCATATTACTGGATAGTAATGTTGTTGGGTAACAGTAGTCCTCAGTATAGAAAGCCCACAGCCTGTTTTGAAGAAAGTTTATGGATAATAGTTTCTTCTGGATCTTTCTGCAACTGGTTTATCATGTTAGTCAAGCCCTTAAGATGAATGAGGTCATGAGTCACTACAAATTCTTTTTTTCAGAACACATACAGAATATCATGACCCTTGAGGAGTCTGTTCAGCATGTTGTCATGACAGCCATTCAGGAGGTGGGTAATAGTTCATAGCCTAGTGCTGTCAGTTGACAAGTCTAGGCATCTATTTGTTCTTTGTGAATTCTTTCATCCAAGAAAAGGTCAGGGAAGAGTGTAAGTACTTCTCTGAATTATCTTGGAGGATCAGGACCAAGAGCCCTCAGACCTCAATCAGGGGATTTAGATTTTAGCCTTGTATGCTCAAACATACAGCTTGTGGAGACAAATATGTAAGATTTTCTGTTTCACACAAGAGATATATCTAGTTGCCAGCCACTGATTATACTGCAGTCAAGTTCTGAAATTTTTGTCCCAGTGCTGTAGCCTTGGACCCAATGTTCAGCTGATTGTGTGTTTATGAGGCTGCATTGTTCCAGCAGACCATTCCAACATGTGACTTAGAAACTTCAGCTGCATCTCTTCTGTTCTTATTATGGTGTGCTCCTCCTGCTGTCTTACTTTGTTGGATCATCTTAGTGATCCAGCTCACAGCTTAACTCTGCAGTCACTTGCATTTGTGAGCTTCAGGACTGTGAAGCAGAGTGTGGAGAGTGGCAGAAACTAAATGCTGGCTTAGAAGAAAAGTTGGTGTGTAATTGTACCTTCAACAAGGTAGCAGTGGAGTTGGTAGTAAGCCCTCTTGTTTGTTGTCTTCTGACTAAGTAAAGTTTCTGAAGAAGGTCTAGAAATAATACTATAACTCCTGAGTGACGAGTAAAGCCCTTTAATTGTTGACAAATACACTTTGTCCTGGAGATCAGTGAGAAGCAATGTTAATGTTCCCACTGTTTCCTTAATGACATTTAATGGGACACAAAGTAGTGTGGTAACTGTTACATTAACTGGGTAAAATCCTGTCCTCTGGTTCACTCCATTCTAACTTGACTGGGCAATAGCAATAACTTCAGCAGATCAGAGAGTCATCCAGTAAGATGTTATTGCTAACTTGATTCATTTTGGGAGGGCGAGGTAAAAGAAGTCGTCTTGTTCTAGATGTGCTTAAATTCTTTACCACCCATGAGGTGGGTTTTATTATTAATGTGTTTTGATGTATTGAAGAGATGCAATGGCATAGTGAAAAATACAATTGGTCCTCAGTAGACAGTGAATTTACAGATATTTAACATCTAATTTAACCTTTATCCCTGTGGCCTCTTTCTGTAGCTCATGAGCAAGGAAGTAACATGTCCTTCCACGTGTGATGCATCAAGTGAAATGGAACAGCAGGTAACTGCCTGATATTTGTTGCTGTGGTAGTTCAAGCCTGAACATTGCAAAAAGGAGTAGGGGTACATGAAGGCTCAGCCATTCCAGGCTGAATACTTCAGGTTGTTTTTAAAGTGTCATAAAAAATTTTGATGTCCAGAAGACTACAAGGTGTTGCACATAAAATGTACTTTTTTTCAAAGTAGCTGCCCATAAAGGAGCATTAGTATTTCTCTTCTGAGATGAAGAGCAGGTGTTCGATTTAACAGGCAGGGATTTGAAAATTGTGACAACATGACTGTTACTATGGTTGGTTTTGTTGTGCCTTTAGCCGAAGTTGTGTTTCAATAATTCACTTGTTGCATGTGGTAGTCCCTTAGAAGGCAAGTGAAATGAACAGAGATCTGATCTAACAGTGCATGTAGAGGTTTCTGTGTCAACATGTGCACCTAACATCCTTCTTAAACAATTTATATCAGCAATTGAGTTGTTTTGTAAGCTAGAACTGTGAGTATGTTGGATATGGGTCACAATGATTGACTGTCTTATTTTCTGAAAGCTTAAGAGAGCTCTGGAAGATCTTCAGGAGGCACTAGCAGAAAAAGAAGAGTTGGCACAAAGATGTCAGGAGTTAGATTTACAGGTAAGAAACAGCAAGTTTCTGTTCTCTTCAGTATGTAGTGGTGCAGCTATTTAGATGCAGAAATAAAGGGCAAAGTGAATTTTGTGCTATTTAAATTTGTTTGGGGGGGGAAGATCATTCTGTATTAAGAATTCAGTTACTGGAAAGAGTTTTCTGATAGAAATGTGAGCCGAGATCCTGTGCCAACTGTTATCTCAAAGGTGCTTTGATCTCTTAGCTTCATGTTTACCTTTAGTAGCAGGTAGCGTTAAAACAATGTTATGATTGGAAAAATTGCCCTCTTCAAGTTTAGTCGCTGCTTCCTCTAGTCTTTTGTACTGTGTCCAAAAAATTGCTTCATGTGACAATCAGTCATTAGATTTAATCACAGGGAAGGGATGCAGTTTCAATAGGAGTTGATGAATGACTCAAATTTGAAATTTATCTCAAATTTGCTAACTTTTTCTTGTACACAATTGCAACACGAAGGATATTTCAGGATAAGAATAATGGAAACTAATAGATCCTTGCTGACATTTTCAAACTACACTAATAATAGGCCTATTTTGGTTTTTAATGGATATAGCAGTTAATCAAGTCATTCTGGAGAAAAAGGACTTCATAACAATAAAGAGGAATTTGCATTTCAATCAACTTTTTAAAGAAAAGCAAGATCCATTTGTTAGGCGTAAGAGTGATTCCTCTTTTATGGCACTGCAGTCTGAGAATAGGAAGAGTTTTATCCGGTGAGGCAGTTCATCTCAGATTTGGCTCTGCACAAAGAGAACATTTGGGTGGTGGCTTCTTAGAGGAGCCAGAGGTCTGTTCTGGCTGTATGAGCCTCTGAAAGTGAACACCCACAAAGGGAGAGGCCAGTTGTGCATTGCTTACAGGTAATGACAACTGAAAAAACAGAACAATTGTATGCAGAGTAGCTCAGAGCTAGCTGCCATGCCCAGGAAGCTATTGTTATAATTGAATAGATATTTAATTTCCTTCTTTTCTTGAGGCAGTAGTAAGGCTTCCTAAAGAAAGTAGGAATCTAAAAAGGCTTGTGAGATGAATCTGGAGAAGTCCCAGGTGTTCTCCTGTCTCCCACAAACTTCTCTTCCAAGTTGCTCATAACAGAGTGTGGGGCAAGTGAAAGGTGCTCGAGGGAAAGGTACTGCTAAGTATGAACAGATGAGTTAATGACACCACAGCTCCTTAATTCTGTGATGTGTTTTTAAATTCTCTTGTCATAATTTGTATTGGCTTGCACACCACTTCCGTTGTGTTGAAATAATAAAAGAAAGATCTGAACAGAACTGAGAAAAGATTAAAAACTTGGAATTGTGTGACAGTTTGATTTTTAGATTCTTTTTAAGTCTGAGGTGGTTGATGTTGATTCTTAAAGTCTGAATCTTGTGCACGTTTAAGGAGTGGCTGAACCTTGAATAGGATATGTTATGCCAAGCAAGGCTCAGATCTGCTCTCTACTCACAGGTGTTTGTGCATGTAAATAGTAAATGGCATCTGGTGTGTAAAACAGAGTGTACCAAGAAAGCACCTAATGAAGTGGTAGATTAATTACTGTTTGACTTTTACATCTGTTTGATAGACTTTTAAATTATGATCACAGACGAGTTGTTTCTTAGTATTGCTTAGTTTAATGATGTCATCGTGATATGTTTTGCTAATTTGATTTCTTTGAAGCCATAATTTTGACCAATGCTTCTCATGTAAACTAATTCTTAATAAATTCACTTGTAAGGTCTCAGTCCTCCTTGATATTTTCCAAGAGTATAAGAAAGGTAGGTTTACTTTATGATTCAGGACAACATAACCCAAAAAGTATATTGTCCCTGTTTAAATGCCAGTTGACTAACACGTGCTACATGCTCTTATGTTTGACAGGACGTTAAAATTAACACAACAGCTTTCACTAGAAAAACTTTAAAGGTTCTATCCTCTTAATCCTTCCCCGTTTTATGGCTGTTAATATACTTTTCAGTCAAGTGTTGTATCCTCATTTGCTTAGCTGTGAACACTCACCACCCAACCTGTCTGACTGTTGCCAGCAGTGCATGCTCTAGATGAAGCTGTCTAGGTCGTTCCTTTTGCGTGTGTCGCTTACCAGCTTACGGCGCCCGAACCCGCTTCTTGCGCAGCCATTCACTGCTGAGCACGGCAGGGCTGAGGTGGTGTGCTGCCCAGGGCCATCCTGCTGCTTCTTGTCAAGTACAAGCAAGATGGAGAGTACCTCCATACCAGTCCTTAGGTTTTTTTTGTACAGTGTCCATGGTATTTTTAATGGAAGCACCAGTTCCTCTCCATATCGCATTGTGTGCCTTGACTGTGGTTTGTTACCAAAATCTGTGTTTTTTAGAGGGACTTTGCCTCTAGTGCTTCATAACTGTCATACACTAAAGCATCTGTATGCTCAAGTGTGCTCTGTAAATCATATTCTGAAGTTTCTAAACGCTCAACCTCTTTCATAAACTAATTTGGTGACATTGCTGCTGTCTTTCTTTGGCTCTTCCCAGCTGGACAGGTCTGACAGTGTTGATGCTGTTTTGTCTGTACCAGGTGGCTGCCCTCCAGGATGAAAAAAACAACTTGATGTCAGAAAATGAGATTATGAATGACAGGCTAGAGCAATTAGATGACTCTCTTGATGATCCAAATACTGTGGTTGCGAAGAAGTATTTTAATGCACAGTTGCAGCTGGAACAGTTGCAAGAAGAAAACTTCAGGTATGAAATGACTTCACTGAAAAAATCCATCACTTACCTTGTCAAATATATCCTGAGGATGTCTGGTACTATTTGGGGATTTTGCATCTCAATTTCTTTTGCATTTAAAGCTTTCTAGTGCTGGATAAACATATTTTAAAGAGGTCCTTTCCTTTAAGAAGAAAAACAAACTGTTATTTGTAGAAAATACCACTTTGCAATTGCCATGTTGTAGCCATTTGGTATGTCAAAAAAGGGGATGGAAGGCAGAAAATGAGTGATGAAGTGACTTGTGTTTAAACAAAACAGCCCCCATACCCCAACACCATCATATATTTCCTGTACTCTTTGTTTACATATCAGTCTTTGTGATGCATAGGGGGAAATAGCACTTTCTATGTTATTCTTTGCTACTGATGTGGTAAATTTGCAGTATACAATCCATTATGATTTAACAGGTAGACAACAAAATGTTGCATGCTTACAGTACCATTTTCTGCCTTTCTCTTAATTTTAGTAGTTCTAGCACTAAATGAAAGCTGTGTAATAAGGCTGAGTTCCTAACAGAGTTGCTGTTTTTGATCTGGTAGGCTTGAAGCTGCAAAAGATGATTATAGAGTCCATTGTGAAGATCTAGAAAAACAATTGATTGAACTGCAACACAGAAACAATGAACTGACCTCTCTGGCAGAAGAATCTAGAGCCTTGAAAGATGAAAATGATATTCTTAGGTACGTAGTAGAGAGAGCTATGTGCATACACATTAGGAGGATTTCATTACTAAATCCAAGGCTTGGTATTTAACAAGATTTTTCTGAGGTGTTACGTGTGCAGATAGATTTTAACTGCATGAGATCTGTCACAAAGCAGAGATGAAGCTTGAGGCAAAGACACTATTGTTGGCTCGGTAATAACACATGGGATTTTTCTGTGAAGCAGAATTCATGACTGCAGAACTTGTGCTTCTTCATGTGGGATGGAAAGTTGAAGTTCTGCAAGAATAAAGCAATTTTTAGGGAGGTGTAGGCTCTTTATAAGAGGACGTTTGTGTTGGCGATAGGCTTCTTTTTCTGATGTAGAAAGGCATTTATAGATGATGATAGATGAAATCTATCACAAAAGCTATAACTTTGACATAGCTTTGACATAGTCATCATTCTAGGCTGGATTTAGGTTAGTGAGATCATTAACAACACGAAGATGAGATACAGAAAACCTCCATGAGAATTTAAGGTAACATTCCAGCCTGTGTAAATCATATTAAACACCAGACCACCCAAGAAATATCCAAAACAAATCACATTACAACAGCAGGTCTGCTGCTCATCAAGTACTATGAATAAAATATGGCAGAAAAGTGGTTTCAGGTGTTTAACTTGCAGTGGTTCTTAAATAACATCTGAAACAAATCTTAACCATAGAGTTTCTTCCATAATTTTCTTGTAGCACGTTCTAGTGCTATGAGAAGGCAGATAGTAAACACAGGTATGAAACACATATTAAAATTAATTTGAAACTTACAATCCCAGTATTTTTTTACAACCGTGGTATTTTCTTACCACATAGATTTTTGTTAATGATCAGCTGATAATTCCTGGTCATATCTGCCAATGATAATTTTCATAGTGCAATTACATTCTAATTGTGTGTAACCCCACAGTGAGAACATCCCAGCTACCAGTGCTTGGAGATGATTATCCAGCACAAGATGTTGTGGTGCATTTCCATCGCACCCCACAGAATTCCCTAGGGATATCAGACACACTAACTCATACTTTTGGCATACCACTTAAACCCTGTGCTGACTGCAGTTTTTATACACAAATTTGCATTGATTATACATTTAAAAATAAAGCAGAGGATGTAACTGCGGCTAAGCAGCTCTCTGAAATTAGCTTGGGTGTGCATGACAGCAGAATCTGACTTGTAACTTTTGAAGACACATACTAATCTAGTTCCTCTTGAAGGAGTACTGCAGACAAGGCAAGTAAGCTGGAAGCCACTGTCGAGGTGTATCGGAAGAAGCTGCAGGATCTCAATGACTTCCGCAGACAGGTCAAGTCGCTGCAGGAGACCAACATGATGTACATGCACAACACAGTGAGTCTGGAGGATGAGCTGAAGAAAGCCAACGCAGCACGTGCCCAGCTAGAAACCTACAAAAGACAGGTAAGACTGTATTTATATTTTAAACATTAGCTTTTTCCCCAGATAGGCAGGAACAGCTTAAACAGTGTTGTCCCCTTAGAATTTCTTACTTGTGAAAACTCCTTCATACACTGCCTTTGCTTTGGGGCTTTTCCCTGATTGTTAAGCCAACAAGCTTAACTGTAGTTGTGCTCTCAACTGGTGTGAGTCTATGGTTTGCAGGCTTTTCTTCTTTACTCTGAGGTAATTTGTGTGCCTGGAAGAGATTCTTCAGCTGTTACAGAATATTCAGAGTTGAAAGGGACTCACAGGGATCATTGAGTCCAACACGGGCCCTGCACAGGACATCCCTGAGAATCACCCTGTGCCTGAGAGCATTGTCCAAGTATTTCTTGAGCTCTGTCAGTCCTGGGGCTGTGACCACTGCCCTGGGGAGCTGTTCCAAGTGCCCAGCTAAGATCTGACTGAAATTAATTCTATGGAATATTCTTATCTTTCTTAATGGAAATTTATCTTAAACTGTGGAAGTTTTATTTTAATTTCAGTAGTAACTAAGAGTTAAATAGTTAAAAAGAACTCAAACCAACCAAACAAAATACCCAACAAAACCCCCCCAAAACACACAGGCCTCTGACCCATCTCCCCTCCCCTAGGCTTGAGGGACCAACTGTTCTATTTTGGCTGACCTAGGCAAGAGTGACTGTTTTAATGTATCTTTTAGAAGTAGCATCTTGCAACATTTATGTGCTAAATACAATATTTTTATGTAAAGGTCCAAGAGCTTCATAACAAACTGTCTGAAGAATCAAAAAGAGCTGATAAATTAGCATTTGAAATGAAGAGATTTGAAGAAAAACATGAAACTTTAATCAAAGAAAAAGAGGTAAGTCTCTTGAAGAGAGTTTATGGGAACACTTACTAAATTTCTCTCAAATGCTTTGCTTGAGGAAAACCTTCCCAAAAGTAAAAGTGAAGCTCAGTGCCTTCTGTGCGTGTGTGTGTACACATCTAAAACATAATATAGAGTCACAGAATCATTGAGGTTGGCAAAGACCTCCAAGATCATCAAGTCCAACCAAAAATGTGCATGTGTGTCAGTGCTATTCCTGAGTAATGTTATTTGGTCTTAAAGTGGTGCAGTTTGACTTAATTCCACCTCAAATCTATCTCGTTAGAGACTGATAGTGCAGTGTGATGCACTGAAAGAGACAAATGAAGAGCTCCGGTGTTCTCAGATGCAGCAGGATCACCTGAGCCAAACAGGTAGTGCTTTATCTTCAGAGACTTCTTCATTTGTGTTGGAGGTTTCTTTAACTGTGTTAAATCAAACTCCTCATGCAATTTCAGGTGGATCACGCCATGAGAATCTTGCTGCTGAAATTCTGCCAGTGGAATATAGGTGAGACAAAAAAATTAAGGTTGTTTTGGGATATTTGTGGTTGGGGTATGATATTGCCTCTGTGAGACTTCATGGCTCTGTATGTCAAATCTCACTTTGCTTCCATGATGCTTGTTCAGACCTCCATGTAGGTGTGAGTAATTACTTCCCCTTACTATAATTCCTTTCTTTCTTAAAGCCATATCAGATTGCTGTATGGAAATCTGGGTTTGGAGTGACAAGTTTAAAACTTGGCTCATCTCTCTTAAAATTTTCAAACATCACAATATTTTAGGCTATTAAAATTGCATCCTTACCCCAACTATGTCCTTAAACAGAATTTTTTTGTTCACATAAAGGTTGTGAGAACAAACAGGAGTTTTACTTCCTACTCTTAGTCACCTTTTTATTAATTAACAGTGACTTTCTTGTTGGTTTTGATTCAGGGAAATGTTTATTCGGCTGCAGCATGAGAACAAGATGCTCCTGTTAAAACAGGAAGGGTCAGAGAACGAACGTATTGCAGAGCTCCAGGAGCAGCTGGAGCAGAAGCATCGGACAGTGAACGAACTGGAAACTGAGAAAAGGTGATGGGTGGAACAACATCTTGGGGGAAAAAAGTGATTTCTGGACCTTCAGAGTGGCCCTGTGGCTTGGCTCAGTAATGTAGCCCTGTACAAGAAGCCAGTTAGGTTTTTTCAGTCACCAGTGTCATCTTAAGTGAAGTGTTGCTTATAGGACAGTCTGCTTAGCTCCGAGGGATTCTCAGTAATAGACCAAAAATGGATATTAACTCTATTTTATATATATTCTATAAAGGTCTATTTCTAGAACTCCAAACTGTTAGACCATGGGATATGGTCTGAATCTCTCTCAGTTAATGGGTGCTGAAAGCAGTTCACTAGGATATGACAATTTTTGATAGTTAAGGTTTCTCAAAGTTTAAAATTATTCTGGGTATCTCATGGTTAAATGTGCAGTGAAGCTCCATGTGTTTGTTTCAGCAGAAGTTCAAGTCAAACTAAAAAGCTGTTTATTTGTGGATTAACTCCTGCTGGGTAGACCCTCTGAGAAGTTATAATCCAGACATGAAACAGCAAAATCTGTTGTGATCTATTTAGATGGGCAATAACTCTTTTCTTCCTAAAAGGCTAAACGAAGAGCGGATTGGGGGATTGCAGCAGCAGATTGAAGATCTGCAAAAGACCTTACAGGAGCAGGGATCCAAGACTGAAGGAGTAAGTGACAGTTTGTTCAGGCTTCTTGTCCTTGAAGACATCTTACTAGTTTTCTTTAAATTCCTTCAGTGTAACATCAAGTCCTTTGTTTAGATGTGCATCTTACTTTTCTGTGTCTGAATATCACTCCCACACCAACTGCATTTCAGCTGAAAAGCTCATGTATGTGATTCCTCCCTCCTGCCTTCTCTAAGGAACTGTAACTCTTCCATCTTCTACTTTACATTAAGAAATCTCTCAGTGGTGGTATCTGTGATGCAGAAAAATATTTACAGAATGATAGTAACAGAAGTTCATGAAGAGTGCAGTTTTCTTAGGATTTATTTGCTTTGACTTATTTAGTTGTGATAAGTGTTCTTGGCTGATTTGTAATAGCACTTTAGTGTTGCATGGTATGACGTACAACTGAATTTTAACTCTTTCCTTTCACAGTCCAGCAACCTGAAGCAGAAATTGGCAGCACACATGTAAGTAAGGCATATGTGTCCACAGCAGCTTATTTATGCTAAACAATTTGACTGTTGCAGCACAGGAACTGCTTAAATCTTTGTAGGGATGTCTTGTTTTTCTAAGCCACTGATTTGAGAGTCAGTCATAAAGTGAGTTAAGCATTAGTTTTCTGGTTTTGTCTACTCTGATCATGTTGATCTTGTAATACTTGTACATTTTCACTATCTCTTCTTCACCAGCAGCAGTTCTGGTTCTACAACAGACTGCTAAAACCATCACTCAGAGTGTATTCTGTTCTTCTGAAATACTTCCATCCTGTCAGCAGTTACACCTCCTGCTAAGGAGAAGCTGGAGGCTTTATTTGTTCATTTTCCTAGTTTTAGGTGAATGAGACTTAGTTCAAAGTCACAACTTTTCTGCTTCTTAAAACATTCGTACTAATATTTCTGTATAAACTCAGAAGAATTACCAGAGCTTAAAACAGTTATTTCAACACTTTTGCCATCAAGTTCAAGCTTTCAGCTCTTAAAACTGTGCATGAAGTTATTTGTGAGCTTAATCCTTAGCTCAGCCTTTCGTTCTTAGGGAGAAGTTGAATGAAGTTCATGATGAGTTACAGAAGAAAGAGGCTGATCTGGCAGAGCTCCAACCTGATGAAAGTCAGAACCGTAAGTTATTTTGTGTGTTTCTTTGGTGGTTTTTTTTTTTAATAGGACTATGCTAAGTTTCTTCTGAAGTGATTCCTGTAGTCACTGGGCTGTGTGGAGGTTTTTCTGCCCCTGGTGGTGGGCAGGGAGAGGCTCATGGGGGCTCAGTTTTGTGGAACAGTCCTCTGCAGAATGGGAATTCAGGGTCAGGTGGGACCTTATGGCCCAACTGAAACAAAACTAAGGGAACTATGTAGTAGCTAGAAAGTGAGGGTGGTGAAGTCAAGTGAACACAGAGGCCTTAAAGTATCATGTCTGTTTTTATTCTGTGTGTCTTTGTTGATAATTTCTGTAAACAGCCCAGAAGATTGGGGAGCTGGAAGCAGCTTTACGAAAAAAAGATGAGGATATGAAAGCAATGGAAGAGAGATATAAAATGTACCTTGAAAAAGCAAGAAATGTGAGTAGCATATTTCTGAATGGACACATTCCTCCCTCATAAACAGATTGATTTGAGGTGCCCCTCCTAGCATATTCCATTTAGGATTAGTAGCTGCGTACTGCATTTGTAGTCAAATTGCTCAACTTCAGTCAGTTAAGTGTGTGAGGGAATGGGATTTAGGCTAATCATAAGGTGCATTAATGATTCCTTTGTACCCTTTGATATCTATTGTAGAGTGTAACAGCCTGAGTAGTCCCCAGTCTGTTTTCATATTCCTTCTGTGAGCAGAAGGATGAGGTGCAGAGCTGTTGAGAGGCAAACTTGACTTGTCATGCTCTTGTTTTACCTTGTACAGGTCATAAAAACCTTAGACCCCAAGCTCAATCCAGCATCAGCAGAAATCATGTTGCTCAGAAAACAGCTAATGGAAAAAGACAAAAAAATTGAAGCACTAGAGGTAAAAATTTACATGTCTTTAACAGTAGCTTCTAATATGTTGTGGCTCTGGTATTAGACATTCAAGATATTGTTTCCTAATGATTCAGTAAAATCTGCTTGGCTGAAATCCTGAAATGATCATTGACAGCAGTCCAAGCATGAAAAGAATTGGAGAAATGCATTCAGTCGTACAGCAGTATTGATGGCACTAGTTAGAATAGTTACCTGAGCAAACATAGAACTCTTCAACACGAGTTAGCAGGCTGAGAGGTCTGACTTCATCAATGCTGTGGCCTCAGATTTCTCTTACGTAGTATATGCTAGATAATTATGCCATATAATAGCAACTCAGTAACATGATAATAGTTAGGCACTGGAGGTACATTCTTGTCTTTTCAGGTGAAAAAAGTACTAAATTATTCATAGACTCTGATACAGCTTTAACTTTGCATTCTTTTCCCCACACAAACCCTCAGAATACATTTCTGAGTCGTTTCTGTATTTCTAACTGCTACTTGTGTGAAGTTCAGCCTCTTCTTGAGGTCTCATAATTTCTCTCTCTCTTTTATGGAAGTATCTTTACACTTCTAAGCTTCCTAGTTATTTTGCATATTGAAGCATTTCTGCTGCAGGTGTTTATTTCATGGATTGCAGTGAATTTATGCAGCTAAAATGTGGGTTTCAATTGTCTTCCCTCTTGTCTCCTTGCAGAATGAATACAAACTTGCTAAGTTACGTGATTATGAGGAAAAGCTGATCGTAACTGCATGGTATAACAAGGTGGGTCAAAAAATCATTCTGTGATGTGTCAGAAAAGCATGTTTTGCTGAATGTGGCAGTTAAATATTAGTTAATCCAAGAAACACAGCAGAAAAACTTCTGTGTGGGTGCAAAGTAAGCATGAGCTTTGTGTATGAAGGATGGGCAGGTTCTTTCTTCTCTTTTGGCTGTTATTTAAGTTCTTGCTTAACATTTTGCAGAGCCTGACTCTCCAGAAGATGGGTATGGAAGCAAGGCTGGTTGGCAGCAGTGGTGCCTGCAGGGATGGGCCTGGACGCTCCTTCCTGGCCCAACAGCGTCACGTCACCAACACCAGGAGGAATCTCACTGTCAAAGTCCCAGGTGCAACATCTGATTAAACCACAAGGACCATGAGGAAAACTTACATGATAAAGTGTCCTTAAATGTTTTATAGCTTCCACTTTACCTGATGAAAGAGGAGGTTAGAACTGTGGGGAGCTTCAGATTCAACATCAGAACGACCAAGGAGTGATTAAGGTGACCAGTGGTGTGTCGAGAAGGGAGCACATAGTTTTCCAAGTAGAAGTAGATTTAAGAACTGCAGTATTTACAAGCACAGCTTAAAAGATGTATATTTGCCTTCAGATTATATTGTAAATATCAAAATTGGCACTATATATTTAAAATTTTATTTAATGGGTTTGGGCTAGAAAGTTGACTTTTATAATGGGAAGATATTATGCAAAAATGTACTTCAGGAAACTGGCAATATTGGGCGTTTTTACTGGGCACTTCTAAAAATAGCTTGAAAAGATTGGTACCATGTTTTAAAAACGACTTTTTTTGAATATAGTACAATTTTAAAAGCAAGAAAATACTTGCATTTATAGAGAAAGAACATAAAAATACCAGCTGACTTGTTATATAACAGAAGACAGGATTTGTTTTATCATGTCAAGTGAGAAACAGAATTACTCAGTTTATTTAAGAAAAAGAAAAGTTTGTGCATATAAGGTGTTGATTCACTTAAGCCAAATAATCTGTCTTTTCCTCTGCAAGAAAGAAAAAGCTATCATGATAATAATTCAAAAGTCTGGGCTATGTTTTAGAAGTCTGGCAAATGGGTGTGCTGCATTTATTTGCAGAAAGGGAGTTAGGTGGGAAGGGACCCCTTTTATTTCAACCTATTTATACATCCCTGTGCACAGAAATTAATTTTCTTCCTTTTTTAAATGTAGTTTCACTTCTGTTATTCTAAACTAACTGTGGTAGGCAGAGGAATGAAAGATAGCCCTGACAGTTACTGGCAGCAGAGATTGTTTGTTGGCAGGGAGAAAAGTGCATAGACTGTAATAGTTTGATAGAAGATGGAATGGGGATTGATATCTGAAATTTGTGTGCAGGAGTTGCTGTCTTTCAGAAAACTTGTCACTGTTTTCCAAATGTCTTACTTTTGTTGTGATTTGTGTTTTTAGGAATCCTGTTCATGTCTGTTTTTCTTGGCAAACAGTCTAGAGCAAATTAATTATACCCAGAAAACAAAGTTGCTGCAGCCCTTCAAACAAAATGAATACACTAAAACCAAGTATTTGAGGGTGCTGTACCAGACCATCATCTAATACCAAACTCAGCCACATTTGTGAGTGAAAACACACCTGTCTCACCGTTAAGGCCATTTTGGTTTGAGAGCAAGTTCAGCCTTCCAGAATTTAAGTTGTGAAATTTGGGTAGTCTTTCATTTTGCATGTCCCTCACTATGGCTTGTTCTTTGATTTCCTCCTTCCCCGACGTCTAAAATTCTTCATTGGGCATTGCATGCAATGCCAGAGAAAAGGCAAGTAGTCATTTTTAATGCTTAGGGTTGCTTCTTAGTTGTGGTGGTTGTTTTACAGTGCTGTATGTTTAGGCATTCAGTGGAGATTTCCTGCTTCAGAAGGCATTGTTTGAAAACCAGTCTCATGCCAAGTGTGGCATGAGCAGAGAACATGCCAGACAAATGAGTGTTGGAGAGTTTTGTTTGTCTGGTGGTGTTCTTGGGGACTCTGTGCTTCTTTGGACTACCTCTTGGGTTTGAGGTCTTTTATTGCTGCAGTGCTATTAGTGGAGTTTGTGTTTTTAAGATACAGTTGCTTGTTTAATCTGCTAGTGTGTGGGAGGTGGTGGTGAGCAGTGGAGCAGGAGATTCAGTCCTTAGCAAGATGTTTACGTTCCTACAGCCTGGTACTTTGGTGTGTTCTAGTGCAATGTGAACCTGTCACTGATGGTGTTGAGTGGGTCTCTTAACCCTCGTTCTTTACAGCATGGAAACTTTCATGGATGTCCTTCAAATATTCATCTAGTTAGTAGACTTGATGCATTTGTTGTACTTCCCACAGTAGTGGAGCTGTGTCAGTAGTCAATCAGGTGCTGAATAGTGACGAAATTGGAGCAAATGTCTTTGACTTACGCTTCTCAAAACTGCAGACCTGGGGCCAAAATTAACCAAGAACCTGCATAGCATTTAATTGGAAGTTTGTCTTCTGACTAGTGATGGAAGAATTTAAATCCAGAACTAAAGGCAGGGATCAGCCTTTTTCAGGGCACAGACATCCCCAGTAGTCTGTTGGGGTTTTCAGAACAAATTGGGTTTTCAGGTATTAGATGAAATGTTGCTTATTTTGGGACTTTTTCAAACTGTTAGGAGTTAAGCCTGTGGATGTAACCTAAGGGTTTCTTTGGGACTGAGAACCTGTTATAAGAGCAGCTGGTTAAACTTGGGTTATTTCCTGTGAGTGAGGAACTGATCTGGAGGAATAAACATTGGATTATAAGCCATTATAAGTGTTGTGTTCACTGCAGCTCATCTGTGGCTGTGCAGAAAGGACCTCTAGATCAGAATCATGTTACAGTTTGCTTCAATCACATCAAACAAAAACATCATTTATTGAACACACAATTTACATGTGTCCCTTTTCCAGATTAAATAAAGGTGTCCTGTCCACCTTGGTCAAAGTCGGTAGATTTCATTCTGGTTAGTAGAATGTGACATGTCATGCGAGATTGTCCCCACCCACTACCCGCGAGATCTTAGCTGGGTTGTGGCACCAA